ATATACAAATTAAATGGCTTACGTGTACAGATCGAAAGCAGCTTGCTATTCCGGCCAAATGAAGGAACAATATGGCATCACTGAAACTAAGTTTGTAAGTCTAATAAAAAATAATAGTGAGCAACACATATACTACATGTACTGTATGTATGTGTTGCTCACTATTATTTTTTATTAGACTTACAAACTTAGTTTCAGTGATGTCATATTGTTCTTTAATTTAGCCGGAATAGCAAGCTGCTTTCGAAGCTGTACACGTGCCATTTAATTTGTGTATTACACAAATCTTTCCACGAAACAGACAGTTTTAAGTGCAAAAGGTGCGAAAGTGCAGAATCACTCCAGCATCCCCTTAAAACTGTCTGTTTCGTGGAAAGATTTGTGTAATACACCAATTAAATGGCACGTGTACAGATGATCGAAAGCAGCTTGCTATTCCGACTAAATTAAAGAACAGTATGACATCACTGAAACTAAGTTTGTAAGTCTAATAAAAATTAATAGTGAGCAACACACATACCACATGTACCGTATGTGTGTGTTGCTCACTATTATTTCTTATTAGACTTACAAACTTAGTTTCAGTGATGCCATACTGTTCTTTCATTTAGCCGGAATAGCGAGCTGCTTTCGATCTGTACACGTAAGTCATTTAATTTGTATATTACACAAGTGTTTCCGCGAACTGATAGTTTCTAGGTTAGAAAAGTGCAAAAGTGCAAAATCACTCCAGCATCCCCTTAAGTAAACTCGAGCGAATTCGCGCTGATCTTTAAGCCGGGCGCTTAGTAGTTTGCGACGTTGTACACTACTAGGCGCGTGGTTCATTGCTTCCGGCTAAAGATCAGCGTTAATTCGTTCGACTTTACTTAACAATATTTTTTTATCGAGCATTATAGAGAAAAATGGTTCAGGACTTTTCGACTCAGCTTTTAATAAGAAACAACGCTACGTAATTAGTGGGCGGTCCTCAGTGTCATCCCGTGTAAAACTCCGAGATAAGATTTATATTAATTTCAAAGAATAAAGGGGTGAGGGAAAAATTGGTGAAGGAACAAAATAAGAAATGGGTAGTGCTTCGAATCCGCGAATGTATATCGGATGACTGACACGGTCGAAGTGAAGACGAAGGCGGAAGAATCGAAGGCGGAAGCCGCGCGGATAAGAGTACAATGCCGGCGTAGAGAAACGCGGCGGAATTGCTGGCTCAGCCTTCGGCGCAGCCACGGGCGGCGCCGTCAATGCCAGTGTATTTCACAAGCGGAAACAGGATATGAAAGTGAATTCACTCGCGTTCGTAGGAGAGCGACTGTCTAAGATAGTCTCGGATATCACCTTGATACGGAATATCCGCGCGTACAATCGCTCTGCGTGCGTACGCGCGTTACGAGCGAATTCGCGTCTCTCACGCACGGCTCTCTCGGGTCGGCTTCTCACGAAAGTAGGCTGCAACATTGGGTAATTAATCCGTCGGGGTGCAGAGAGACGGGAGGGAGGGAGGGGGGGGCAGGGGAAAGGGAACTGTAAATAATATCCATACTCGAAGATCGAGCACGTGTCAACTTTCATCCTTATTTTTTCGTTATGCGTAGCCCCACCGCGGGAGGAACCTGCATCACGTACGACGCCGTAAATCATGCCTACGTCGAGGCGAGGAAGCGCATCAGTGAGTATATTAAATTTCATTACGGGAATTAATTGCTCGATGTCCATACAATTTATTGCCGGTAATGGCCAATACGATGCGCGCGAGTGTCGTTCGCGTGACGCGCAACACACCGGTCGTATATAAAACGGACGATCGCCGTACGCGCGCATCTCTCGCGCTCGCCGCATCGTTTTCGCTTCACCTCGCGCGACTTTCTCGCTCCGTCGCTCACACGTAATCGCCCGTAGACGTCGCGAGGCCAAAGTCGGAGTTATGGCGTCCGGTGGACCTGGCGACGGTCGGCGAGCTCCTTCTCGACATCACCACGAATATCGCGCAAACGTAAGTCCTCCCCGTTAACGTGAGCCCGCGCGATCTCTCCCGAACTTTCCCCCCTTGGGACCCGATCGCGTTTCCTCGATTTTACTTTCTAATCATCGGCGTCCCCAGGTACGGATTGACCTACGAGGAGATCCAGAGGAGTCTGCCGTTGATCGACACCTCGAAGACGCTGATCCGCGAGGTTTGTCCCGCATTTCTCAGCAACGTGGAATGCAGACCGGGCAAGTACCGCCGGTACGACGGCCTCTGCACGAATTTGCAGAATCCAACTTGGGGGGCCACCCTGTCGCCTTTCACGAGGTAATCTAGCGATTTTTCCCGCTCCCCGGGACGTTTCCTCTTTCCAGTACGGAACACGCTGCGAGCGCTTCTTCTTTGCAGACTGATGAGCCCTCAATTCGCGGACGGCCTGACGGCGCCGAGGATATCCGTAACGGGTCGTGATCTACCATTGTCCCGAGTCGTGTCGCGCACCATGCACCCGGACGAAGGTTACCACGATCACGCCGGCACAGTTATGGTGATCGCGTGGGGACAATTCATGGACCACGATTATACTTTGACCGCCACGCCTCTAGGTATACTACGTTCTAGAGCGGCGCTCATAATGGATTCTTCCGCTGCGACGATCGGTGACTTTAACGTCCGCAAAGCGATCTCTCTGCCTCGATAACCCTGGTAGCACAATATATTGGCGCAATATTGCCGAATGATGTAAATCTAGTATTCCCAATATTGTCAAATGGGCGCCTTCTCTTGGCCAATACGTCTATTCAGCAATATTGCTCTAATACTGTACCAATTTTAGGCTAATATTCTTATTACATTGTTAAAGATTGGCCAAATCTGATAATATACAATTATTCTTGTGCAATATTTACATTTATTTCAATATTGACTTTACGTTGCACAATATCGGCCAATGCATTTCTAATATAACCAACATTGGGCCAATGTTTAACCAATGTTTAGCCAATGCGCTGTGCTACTGGGGAAGATTTTCCCAAAATTGATCTCATTAACTAGATTTCATAATATGCTTATATAATTTTATGCTATTTCACACGGTGTACGCGTAAAATGCGTATAAATCAATAAAAGACTAAATAAAAAAATGATTCATCTCGCGTAACGAGAAGGGAAAGAAATTGGGTTACCTGCAGTTCTCCGAAAAAATTAATGAGTAATTAATTACGAAAGGTTTCAATTACCAAGTTGCTACGGTAATATTTTCTGTTTTCTTTTTTTCAAACAAAAACATCTTGTCTAAGTATGATGTAAAAAAAAAGAGAAATGGTTCTTAAACTGATGATCATCGCAACACACGACCCTGACAGCCACTTGTGATACATAAAGAATTTTAGAGAAAGCAACAACTAAAAAAAAACTATATACGAATGGTTTTTCTGTCGGCTCGTACACCGTAATGATCGAAGCGCGCTGATTCAATCATGCAACTAGAATAGAAATTAGAAAGCGAGCCTCTCAATCGACGGCGAACTGATTGCTCAAGTTGCGTCAAAGCAACTGTACCGAGATATTTGATACATGCGCATCGTAGGTCGCTCGTAGGCCCTTCCACGTTTGCCGTACATATCGAAACGAGGGTAACTACTAGAGAAAGCGAACGATCATTGTTCGGATAAACCGATCACGTGTACGTTCGTGACGTTACCGAGCGGGTGCTCCTCGAGATCGCTCGCCGCTTATGTGTCAAGCGGAATCGATAAGCCCATTGACAGACTTGCGATCGCGCCACTTCAAAGTAACCCGCGCTACTTGACGCCAATTATCGAATTGTTTCTGGGGGGGGGGGGGGGGCGAGAATAATTTAGAATGCGCAATCCGGTCGTATGCCCCGCGGGCGATCCCACACGTATTCCCGTAGGAGAGGATAATTAATCGATTGTGTGCCTCGTCCAACGGGAGATTGCGACAGCCGGAAAAAAACCTGTCGACGGTCGTAATGTTCCATTCAATCGCGAATACTGATATTCCCCGACACGTCCATAGCCGCACGCGGGCTACGGACTACGCGTGCGTGATAGAAACGCTATCGCTTTCTGCTATCGTTACGGTATCAGTTCTGCTATCATCGTGTTTGCAGACCCTCTGAACCGAAACGACCCCGAAGAATGCTGCGGCCGGCCGCCACACCTGAAGAATCCCTACTGCAACGAGATCTTAATACCGGAGGACGACTATTTCTACAGGCTGTTCAATGTACAATGCATGGACTTTGTTCGCGCTTTTCCCGCCGTCCGGCCTGGTTGCCGTCTCGGTTCCCGAGTGCCTTTCAATCTTCTTACGGGCGTACTAGATGGTAATACGGTTTACGGCATCACGGAAGCGTTTGCCAGGTAAATATAACATTCTCAACCCGAATAATAATACGAAATAATTATTCTCAAACACTTATGTAACGGCTTATCGCGTTATCGATCTTAAATCATTAAACGAGTTTAAACTGCAGAGCTTTCGATTGGATACGTGTTTTAAGAGTCACGTGTGCACGTAATCCGTCTACACGGATTTAAGATACCTTCATTCACGTGTACCTGTGTACGTGACACGTGCACACGTATAGTCGTGTATGTGTGATACGTGTAAACGTGTGCAAATATTTATCAAAATTTGATGAAAGATCTCTATTTCTGCACTGAAAAAAATTTCTGGTTGAATATGGACGAATCAGATAATTCCTTTAGGATTTACCAGAATTTCTGTAGGATTACCGGAATTCTGGTAAATCCTAAAGGAATTCTGGTAAATCCGAAAGGAATTATCTGATTCGTCCATATTCAACCAGAAATTTTTTTCAGTGTGCATATGTTGTTCGACATATGTATACGCATAATTCCAACATTCCAGATTTTATCCAGATTTTCCAGATTTTATCCAGATCACATAATTCTCTAAATATTGCACTACTGAGGTATACACGGCTACACGTTTACATATGTCACATACACGGATATTCGTGTACACGTGTGACGTTCACGGATATTCGCAAACACGTGTCACATTCACGTGTTCACGGATTCACGTAAATGAAGATTCTTTAAATTCGTGTACACGGGTTAAAATACGGATAAATTAAATACACGGATTACACGTGTACCGGGGAGCTCTAGTTTAATAAAGTCGATTTTGTCTCAATACGGCAGGTAGAATTACAAATTTGTTTTAATTAAAATATGTTTAAAAAGTAAGCAATAGAATAAATATGTTTATATACGGGGTGTATACACGCGTTTAAACATGGAGGAAAAATGAATCCATTTCACTTATTTTATATTTCATCGCGTTATCATAAATGATTAAACGAGTTTAAAGTCGATTTTGTCTCAATACGGCAGGAAGATACATTCACCGAAAATTACACTTTACACCCATACAACACAAAAGCTTGCAACAACATTGCCGCAAGATTGCAACATTGCATCTTGCAGTGTAATAGTACATAGATATTGCAGAGACATTATTTTACAATATTACTTTAGTAATGTTGTAACAATATTATTTTAAAATATTGATACAATTATGTTTGCAATATGTATATTGTTTCCTCACATCACTTTTATAGTTTACTAGAAATGACAAAACGCGCGTTTCGCGCGCGCAGTTTGTAGTTCAGCATTGTATATTTTTAAGAATTTGTATACATGCAAAGAGAAGTAATTGTATGCGCAACGTCAATTTAAAATAAAAAGTAATTTTTCACTCACTGATACGACTCGCAACAGCACAGTTGTACATCGTCAACTAGGTATATACATATGTTGAACTGTAACAATACAAATATGCATATGATTATAGACTAATCATGTAAAATTGAAATTATTGTATCAAATATACTTTACATTTTATATTTAAAAAAATAGGTATTTATTAAAATAATTCTATAGAATACTGAAAAAGTCTTCCTCTTAAATATAAACTGACAAAATTTTATACGTATGGTTTTGTCTCTAACACTTATTCGAATTCTCGTTCGAATCATTTGACTAAATAGAATAAAAACACAGAACAGATGTTTTATTTTGCACAAATAGCAGATAACATAAAAATGTAACACACTTACCTTACGATTTCTCCGCCGTTGCCCGATGCCTCCCAGACCTCCTCGTCCTCTCAGATTTCCTTGGTGCACTCACACAACACTCGCGAAAATCATCGATCGCGCGAAATTTCCGACACTCCCGTACGCGACGTGAAATACCGCGAAATATTATTAACAAAATATCGCGTGACTTTCTGTCATACGAATTACTCAAACTAACTTGCATTTTTGATTCGGAAGAATGGATAAATCACTTTTAATTTGGCGATATAAAAGGCAACAAGAGCATCGGAAGCATAATCTGCGGTAAAGAAGTAGTTATTAGTCCGTAACGAAACGATATTTTACAACCTTTGTCATTTAATCTAATCCTTGAAACGAAATCGATAGATAATTAAAAGCGCGGTGCGTAAACGAGATGTAACCGCGACAAAATACCACGGTTTACATTTATAATTTAGATGAGTTAGTCTCGTGAAATATCTATACGTTGATAAAGAGCCGTCGCCTCAACACGCAATTCGTTTCTCATTACAAGTTGTAGAAACTTAATAATTAATCGAGGAACGTTACTTGTTACTAATAAAGGTGTGCAAATCAATAGTGTTTTATCCCTGCATTCATCGTGATCGAGTCTTGGAAACCGATAACGCAAAAGTAATGCTACGCACGGAGCGACTCTCGTCACTGCCTGCCGGCACGACGTTCGGCGAGCGAATGAGAGCGCGGCGACCTTCGGGTAAACTTTGGCCCGCGTAACGTCGTACGATACCGCGCCGAGTGAAAAACAACAAAAAAACGTTGAGAATTCGTTGGCCCGCTTAATCGTCGTACGATACCGCGCCGAGTGAAAAACAACAAAAAAAAAACGTTGAGAATTCGTTGGCCTGCCTACGCAATGGAAAATTCCGTACTTAATATTTTATTGTACATTACTTTGTTCCGTGACTGTTGCTACGTTTTGCGTATTATTCCGCGGACTTATTGGTACCGATTAAATAAACGATTAATTCTGTTCAATCGAGAAAATGTATCGGAACAAAAATCATTGTTACTTAAATTCTAATTACTAAGATTAGAAATTTTACCTCAATAGTTAGTGTATACAAATGTATATTTCGAAATTGCAAATCTTCATTTACTATGAATTTAAAAGAGAAGTGAAGCGCACCGCGCTTCGAGAAAATATATATTATGCATGCATTATATTGCTATGTTGCTGTAATATTACATTGTAATATTTCTGGAGGCGGACATTTTACCGTTGCTGCAAGATTGCAGCAGCGTTGCAGCAACATTTCGCAGCTTTTAGGCAATGTTGCAATCTTGCGATAAATTGTTGCTGCAATGTTGCTGAAACCTTGCTGTGCTGTATGGGAAGTAACGTAACATAAGGGAATGTATCGTCAGTCACCGGTTATTCTCTAGGGGTGGGTAAGTCGGTCTTCGCCTTATATGGATCCTTGCACGTGCATTTAGCAAGGCGGATTTCGTTCCGCCTGAAAATGGTACAACGTATACCACTGTTACGTCATTAAGGGCAATAAATTAGTGCGTTGTTTTTGCATTTTCGAGCACACACGGACACTCGTGTTATTCGCACTTTCTACCATCTTGTGCGACGCGATTGCTCAATTCTCGTGGATTTGGTGACACTACAAGCCGCTACTATATATGTTTTACGTAAATAATGTATACTTTTTATCTAGCTTTTTTAAAAAGTACTTGTCCTAGTATCTCAAACAATTCCGGGAATATTTTGGAAATGTTAAGCTATCAAATCGACTTCAAGTTGTCTAAGTCATATGATAGAAATCAAAATATTAAAGCACTAAAAATGCTACTATGCTTAAATATTAAGAGACTAAAGTAGGTTATTCACGTTGATATTATCGTTTGTACGCGCTACTCCCAAAATTCTGATATGTCTTTATTTCACTTTTTAGAAAACTCCGAACGGGCTACGGCGGATTGCTTCGGATGAATCCAGTCTTTGCAGAGTATGGCCTGAAGGATCTATTGCCGCTAAAATTGGATATACCGGATGAAGGATGTACTCGGCCAAACCGATCGATGTACTGCTTCGAAGCTGGTAATTTATATTTTTATGCAGAAAAGGTTTACGCAAAGTATTCCACGAATATTGATATTCTTTCAGTCACTGTCAATATTAAAACTAGGTTTTAAACGTTACTTAAAAAATTAGGTGTTGAACGTTACTCGAAGCTTAAACAGAGAGATGCAGATTTATTTAATATTAAAATATTAAAATACTTAGGAAGTTGACATTCAAAATATAAAATGCAAAGAATTAAAATAAATGACGATATATTAAAGACTTAACATTTTAACAAATTATAATTGCGCTTTAATTAAAATTTCATTGTTAAAAATTACTTAGCCAGCTCCAAGCTTGTCGGAATCTACGACAAACCAAATTTCTGGCCGGTTTAAAAGATCCTTTTTAATATTCTATTTTTCCCAATTTTTTCCACATCGCGCATTATTGCATTGTTGCGCTCTTGCACGTGGTAGATCAAAGAGTGTAGTCGTGGCGAATCAATAGCTTCGCTATCGCTTGAGAAGAGCGAACTTTCGCAAAATGGTAAACATGGCTTTAAATCGCAATACAGGGCGCGGGCTATTAGCCCCATTGTATCAATTTGAATTCACAATGAGCGTACGATGCACGAGTCAGCCTGAGTCGAATGTAGTCGTACTAATGTAACTATTCTAATTTCTGGCGATTTTTCTGCGTTCGATGGTACAAGAACAATAGAGCGGTAAGTCACGCTCGTTACAGGCCTACTCGCGGCGCCGTTTACTAGGTGCCTATCGCATTCTCTCTCTCTCTCTTGAAATAGTCGCGAATAGATCGCCCCCGATCGATTTTGCTTAGCACCCACGTCTCATTCGCCCGCCCAGGAGTAATTTTCCCACGTCGATCTGTCGATCATCCACGAAACCTCCCAGCGATATGCACTGTGAATCCGATCGGCAATTTCGCGGGACAAAACAATTCGATCGCGGCGATAATTGTATGCACTTATCGCGCGCACCGATCCCATAAATCACTCGGAGATACCAGGACCCGGAGCCACGCCGTGCTAAACCATAAATAACCCGCATGTCAATCGTGCGAGCATTCGGCGGCAACATCACCCATGCCCCGTACTTACGTTAATCGCGTGTCACGGAAAAATCAATTGCTGCTCGAGATCGGCTGTCATTACTTGGGTTTTTCAAAATTTCAGTACGGTAATCGATGCTTTTGCTATCACCGGTAGGCACCGTGCTTGTATCGGCATGATTATCAGCACGCCAATCGATGCGATACGGGTGAGAAAGAGAGTGGCTGCGACGCAAGGACGTCGACTCTTATAAACTCATAGAAATATTGGAAAAAAAATCGCACGCGCCGCAATACTTGCTATTTTCTATCTGTCTGGACAAAGGTGACCGGCAAAAAGTTTTCTCCCTTGTTAAAAGATATATGCCGATTCATTAAATTAAATTATGTTTATCACTCATGTGAGATAGATCAAGACAGATAAGTATGAAAACTTATCGATTTTATCTTTCTTATTGATACAAAAATGCAACGATACGCTTCGACGGCGAAGGCATTATACTCCTGGAACTTTTATCACACTCAACCATCTCCATTTAAATCATCTGAACTAATTAAAGTTATCCGATATAATAGATAATACATTAATAAATTAGTACGCTACGGTATGTCTGGCGAAGATCATAATTCTTTGTCTAGAATAGATTGTCGTTGTAATGCGAAATGTATT